CCATCCACGCCCACCCAGTAGGCCGCACCCACCCTGGCCACACACACCTGCCCCCCCCAGGGCAACCGCAATGCTGATGCAGCCCTCAATGAAATTGAGTTCGACACCCCTGATTTATAGGGACGAGGGTGGGGTAGGGAGTAAAGCAGGGGAAGGTTACAATAACAAAGGCAGGGAAATACATGAATAAGTACATAAACACAGGGAGTCCTCGACTGACGACCGTTCAAAGTCAGTGACCGTTCAAAGTCAACAACGGCATTGGAAAAAGGGACTTGCGACTTAACGACCTTTCCAGCATCCTCCCCGATTAAAATTCGGACGCTCGGCAACCGGTTCCTATTTGTGACGGTCGCAGCGTCCCCGGGGTCACGTGAGACCCTTTTGGGACCTTCTGACAAACAAAAGTCAACGGGGAAGTCGGGTTCCCTTAACACCCCATTTTACTTATCAGTTGCAGGGATTCACTGAACGGCTGTGGTGAGAAAGGTCATAAAAATGGGGCAAAACCCATTTAACCAACATCTCACTTAACAACTGAAATGTTGGGCTCGGTTGCGGTCGTAAGTCAAGGACTACTTGTAAATAAATAGAAGTATATATATATATATATATATATATATATATATATATATATATTGCCAAGCAGCCTCGGTCTCTTCCTTCGTCCCCGGGCTGCTTCCGAGGTCTGCTGCCCTTCCCCGTAACGTGCCTTTGGCTTTCTATTTTTGGAAGAGGCCTTCGGTGCCGATGACTTCCTGCCAGTTCTGATCTACGTGCTGGTGCGCTGCGATGTGGCGTCTGTACAGTTGGATGTGGAGTACATGATGGAACTGATGGATCCCAGTCAGCTGCAGGGAGAAGGTAGGGGTGGTTGGCTGGCTTCAAGCTGGATCTGTTTCCAAGGAAGAGTTTCCCCCCACTAGCCATTAGGAGATCATCTTCAGTTCTTGCTAAGGCTTAGAGGTATTTATACATGTTTAATGAAAGCCGGCTGGGTGACTTTTGGCCAATCACCAGGAGATGGTGAGTTCTAGTCCTGCCTTAGGCATGGAAGCTGGCTGTGTGACTTTGGGCCAAGCACTAGGAAACGGTGAGTTCTAGTCCTGCCTTAGGCCTGAAAGCTGGCTGGATGACTTAGGGCCAATCACCAGGAGATGGTGAGTTCTAGTCCTGCCTTAGGCATGGAAGCTGGCTGGGTGACTTTGGACCAATCACCAGGAGACAGTGAGTTCTAGTCCTGCCTTAGGCCTGAAAGCTTGCTGAGTGACTTTGGACCAATCGCCAGGAGACGGTGAGTTATAGTCCTGCCTTAGGCATGGAAGCTGGCTGGGTGACTTTGGGCCAATCACCAGGAGTCGGTGAATTCTAGTCCTGCTTTAACCAAGAAAGCTGTTAGGTGACTTTGGGCCAGTCTCTCAGCCCAACCTACTTCACAAGGTTGTTGTTGTGGGGAAAATAGGAAGAAGGAGTATTAGGTATGTGTGCCCCCTTGAATTATTTCAAGTAAGAAAAGTGGGTTAAAATTCGAATAAATAAATAAAATAAAGATTGTACTTCCTGATAGGAAAGCCTCGGGGTCACTCAAAGTGCCCTGTTGCACATTGAAGTGCCTTTGGTTACCTGCAGCTGCTTGACTGATGAGAGAGGAGAACAAGAAACGCACAAGACTTGGCTTGAAGTTGGCTTAACCAAGTCTTCCAAAACTTTTGAACTGTCACCCCAAGTTTACTCCTCAACTTCACGTTCATGTCCTCCCTTCCTCCCCCTCCTGCGTTCTAGGGGGCTACTACCTCACCACCTGGTTCGGGGCTCTCTACCACATTGAAAACTTCCAGGCGGCTTTTACCATCACCAGGCAGATCAGCGTGGAGGCCCAGCGCTCCATCCATCAGTGGCATCGCCGGCGCACCATCCACCACCACCACCGCCGCAATTTGCAGGTGAGGCTGGGAGGCAGGTGGAAAGAGAACCTCAGAGACAGAAAGGCCGAGCAAAAGCTGCTAGAAAAATAACTGCTCAGCCATGGCTGCTGTCTTATTTGGGCCGTTGGTTCCTGTTGGAGCAGGTCCTGTGTTGGTGGCATGCTAACCATGGTTTAGACCAGTGTTTCTCAACTTGGGCAACTTTAAGAGGGGTGGCTGGCTGGGGATTTCTGGGAGTTGAAGTCCACCCCTCTTAAAGTTGCCCAAGTTGAGAAACACTGGTTTAGACAGAGGCTTCTATAGAATTAAGCATAACCCGGGTTACATTCTGAGTCATTCCCTGTCATGCGTGTTCTCCTGGTTTCTGCACACGTTAGCATCCTCGCCATAGTGTCCTGGGTGGTTTGGACTACAGTCCCCATCCATTTCTCCCTCCCCCTTCTGATCTGCTTCATACCACACTCTGTTCCTGGCTTGAATCAAGATCCCTGAAGTCACCCCCTCGCTTTCACCATTCTATTTGCACCTCCACTGTTTATGGCAGGACACCTCATTGTAGTTGCCCACAGCCTACGTTCTGACTGATTATGTGTCATCAACTCCTCGTCAACCACGTGCGGTGGGACTTTGGTACTCGTGCTAAATGGGTTCCTGGAGGCACGGCGAGTGCTAAATAGGATGAGTAGCAAACAAACCCTGTGACTTGCCCTGTGACCCTTTGTTTTGGACTTCTATCTGTCCC